CCTAGGCTGCATTTTTGAGCGCAGATCCACTGAGAAACCTGCTGTTTCAGCAACATTTAATTTAAAAACTGTACTTTTGAGGTGAAACAAATGTTTATATTTAATTTAAATAAATTACAAGTTAAAAAGGGCATGGAAATTTCTCTTTTTTTATTGAAAAAACATCGAACCATGAGACTAAAGTATTGAACCGAACCGAATCGTGAATTTTCTGTATCGTTGCACCCCTAGTACATACTGTATATATATACATACATACATAAAATCTTGTTTATGTAGCACTAAATTTGATGATGTTGACATTTGGGAGTTGGGGGGTGAAGTGAACATCTCAAGTATCATTTTTGAAACATTGCTAATTTACTGTGATCCTGCTGTAAAGTGTGCTGCTACTCTACATCCATTTAAATGGCAAAATCCAGTTTTTCCCAGATTTTATTTTGGTGAAACCAGACGCGATGATCACGTTACCTGTTGTAGTCAGTTTTAACTCCTCATTTCAGATCAACAGATCTTTATTGTACATGTTTTATGTATATGTGTCTTCAGAGAGCGTACTTAGCTTTGCTACTTCCTCTTTCTTGTCTGTCTACACTGTGGCTGTCAGTGATCCCAGGGGGAGGTGTGTGTGTGTGTTTGTTTCTATGTGCATGTGTTTGTGCCTGCGTGTGTCTCCTGGTGTATCATTAGAAACCAGCCACAGTAGCACAGCTGTCCCTCCTCAACATTAGTAATTTGTTTTTAATGAGAATCACCAGTGACCCACGACTAATTCATTCATTCCCTTCCACTCCGCCTTCCACGCAGCTTTTGTGTTTCAATCCTGGAACACTATTCACGCTCTCCCTTCTTTCCTAACGCTTTTACGCCCAGCAGCGGTGGTCGTGGTCAGCGTTCAGGTACACCGGTGCAAAAATACAGGGGAGACGCACAAGCAGCACAGAAGAACAGAGTAACAATAAACAAAAACAATATTGCTTGTATGTTGTTGTCTCTGTGTATTCCCAGTCACTTGATATGTGAAACACACACATCTGTGGGCTGACACACACACACCGTGTCTCAGTGGACATGTAGGAACAACACGTCTAAAGATGGGTAACCCTGTCGCCCTGTCCCACTGCGCTCACGCCGTCCTGTCCTCAGGTTTGACAGGATATTTGAGTGTGTGTTTGGGTTTGCTGCGTGCGGCTGTTTGTGTGTGTGTTTGTTTTTGACAGTGTCTGCGTTTGCGACCTTGACACGGAGCTACACGAGGGAGACCCTCCGAGCCTTCTTTCCACTCCTCTCGCCCCCTCCGCCTCTCGTCTTCTAAGCAGGCTGACACACTGCCGTCACTGCGGCGATGACAAGGGAGAGGATGTTGGCGCCCAGGGGTGCTGCAGGAGACCGCATCTCGACCCCACCTGACAGACGCAGCTGAACGTACACATTGGCGCGCTCGAAGAAAACTCGCACAAACAAAAACACACAAGTTGTGTCAGCGTTTGAGTTTCTCTCTGATTTTTTTAGCTCTTTTTGTTTTACTAGACCTGGTAAAAAAAAGATTACCTCCAAACTTTGCTTATGTGTCTTGTTCTATCTCCGCACTTCTCGGCCAAATTATCCCCCTTTTTGTTCACTCTGTCTAATATCATACCTTCATTAAGCAAGCAACTCTCTTCCCCTTCCCTCTCTGTCTCTCTGTCTCCCTCTCTCTTTTGCAGCAGGGGGGCTGACACTCAGAGGGGGTGTTGGAGAGCAGTGAGGCAGAACCGACAGAACGAGAGGCAGGGAAGAGGAATGGGTTGGTGGGGGGGTGGGAGGGAGGGGGCATCAGGGTCTGTGACTGTCAGCTATGGGAGAGGGATCCCCTGGGAGGTATGGGTGGTTCAGGAGAAAATGGAAAGAAAGAGCAAAAAGACTGAAAGTAAGGATAGAAAGAAAGAGAGAAAAAGTGGTGGCGGAGGGGAAAAAATAAAGGAGAATGTTGTTTTGATGTGAAGGGTGATGGGTGGGCTGTAGGCAGGTGGGCCAGAGGAGAAGAGAGAGAAAAATAAAGAGTAGAGAGTGGAAGGAGGAGAAGACGTGAGGAAGAGTAGACCCCAGACAGTGAGAAGTAAATGAGGGAGAAAAGCTACCTTATCATCCACTGTACTGTGCTCTCCAGTTCATTCAATATCAGCTAGTCAGCAATATGCTGGAAACCAGGGGCGGGGTAAATATGGGCGAAAAACAAAACAAAACCAAATAAAGGGGTCAGCATTTCTTCAAAGGAATGCACGTAACCCACCGCCTCACCTGCCAGAGTTTTAAACTAAGATCATGTTGTGATGAGAAGAGACAGATTTATATTTGTTTCAGACAAATCTTAACAACAATATGAAGCAAAGTGTCATGCAAAACTGTGTTGTGTTAGTGATCAGATTATGTGTTGTGAATTTTATCAACGACCACATCCAGTTCTAGAGTTTCAATGATTTGTGTTCAGTTATCCATGGCAGCCAGCTTGAATTGGACTAACTCCAGAGTTATCAGTTGTAGAAGTTGACTGAAAAACAAACACCATACATGACTTCGTATATTTCACATATTTTCTAAGAGATGCTAAACATGCTCTGTTTTATGTGATGTGCTTTCCTTCAGGGGGAGATTTTTCTGGAAGTCCGTATTCCCACCCACAGTATTCTACGTACAACGAGTCATGGAGATTTCCAAACCCGAGCCTATTAGGTTGGTGCATCATGTCTGATCAGGAACTATTACAGTTCTTTTCATTGTTCCTGACTCATCAGTTTCTACCAATCTAATGATGTCGTACATTTATCAATCAATCTTTCTTTGCATTATTTTTCATCCTGCACTGTACCACCTACCTGAGTGTGTTTCTTTCTTTGAAGAAATACTTTTAAAACATTTGTTTTTGAGTTTAAAAGCACTTGAAGAAAGAACAAAGCAAATATCCTAACTTTTTTTGTGAATGACTTGAATAGATAAGCCCAAAAGCTAAAATCAGCTAAATAAAAGCTACAAGCTAAGACCAGCAAAACATTAGCTTCCAGCTGCCTTGCATGGCAAAGTTTAAAAACAAAGATGCAATGAGATCTGTTAACACTCGGAGTACTGTATGTGTTGATGATGACTCTCAGCTTCCAACACAATTAATTTTAGCTCAACATCTGTTGGTTTTTATGTTTGATAATACTGAGTTGGCTCCAAAGCCATGGAAGCACATTCTATGATTGCTTTCATTAGTTTTCATAGTTTCATTTAAACTGTCCAGTGATTCATCATTGAATAGTTTTCTAACAGGCAGATAGTGAAAGTGTATTAGGTCAATAGATGAGACGGATCCAGCTGTGATTACCTATTTAAGGGAACCCTTTCCATTCCTCTCCTCACCTCTTCATGTCCCTCCTCCATCCCTCTGTCCCCAGTGTTTCAACAGGATTATGGGTCTCTGCTGGGGACGGAGATCGGCTGCTCGTCCAGTCTCTTCACCAGCCAGGCAGGACAGATGCAAGGTATGTGGAGAGAGCGAGAAATACAGTATAAAAAGAAAAGAATAAATGAGTGGACACGAAGATGGTGAAAAATGGCGGAGGAGGAAGCAGTTTAGCCTGATCGTGAGTTTGACGACAGAGTGCACACCGAAAGGTATTGAGAAGAAAAACACAGGGGAGGGCGGAGGAACAGAAGAGAAACGAAAAACAGAGGGGGGTTTTAAAAAAATGAAGCTAAAGGGAGAGAAGTAGGGTGAGGGGTTTTGAAGTCCTGAGTGAGACTAAAGAGTTTGTCAGGTTGTCTTAATGCCTCACTTCCCCAAAGAGACTCCTGAGATTACCTGGACTGTGGACAGACATAACCTGTCAGCAAACAGCTTGTCAGAGTGATGGAAGAGGCAGAGACAGGTGTGGGTGTCTGCTTGTTTTTTCTTTCTCCTGTGTGTATTAAGGTGTGAGAGTGTGAAGTTTTGTGCGTCTTTGGGGTTACCGTATTGAATTGACCTCCCCTCAGGAGAGAGAATAGACTCAGGGGATCAGTAGTGGTAGAGCTGTACTCAGGGTGTCAACTTAGACTGTCACTTAGATGGTGTGTGTGTGTGTTTGTGTGTGTGTGTGTGTGTGAGGGCAAAAAAGAGAAAAAGTGCCACACAGAGCAGACTGAGTCTATTCGACTGGTTGTACATGAAAGGGAGTCTATTTTTTTTTCTGCCATTAGCTTCATCAGCTTCTGTTATCTCACACTGCCTTTCATTCCTGTCATCCACAGTTAAATGTTATCTGAGCAGAAAATTGAAGCTGCTCATTTCACACTTACGCTGTATTTTAAAGGAGAATTCAGATTTATTACAACCTGAGTCGTATTTTTGTCATTTGAGCCATCATTTCTATCTGTAATAGAAATAATCCTCTCCAGGGTAATGACTGAGATCTGCTGGCGTGATGACATTGGGACAAAAAAAAAAAAAAAAGAAAGAAAGAAAGAAAGAAATGACCAGAAGGTTAAATAAGTTTCAATAGATTTTTGGGAAGCGAGTGAACAGTGTTTGTTTAATACTTACAGAACTCAGTTTTTTAAGTTTTAGTGTTTTGAATCTGCCAATTAATATATTTGAGTAGAAAGATCGAATTAAGTTGTGTGTTATTTCCTTTTATTCTGGTGAAATCTAAACACCTTTCTCCAAAATCTCCCAAAAGCTTAGATTCAGAGTTACGTACATTAAGGGCAATTTACAGGCCAATTTAAGGAAAAAAGTAATGGTTTTGTGTATTTCTTGGATGCAGTTTTAGATTTATGACACTAGATGTCACAGTTTCTTTCATACTGAACAAATAAAAGTTGGTAAATGCAAAAAACCGCTTTAAAAGAAGACTTCAGGTGACAGACATATCAATTTTAAAGAACATTGCTCTGAGTTTGTAGATGTTGGCAGCAAAAACATTTGAATCAATCTGATGTTATGCATCAGAAAAGGAGTTTTTATTACTGTTTTTTAGTTTTGTTTTTAATTTACATTTTATACAGCCTTCAAACTTTTTCTGAAATGAAAACGCTTTTATTTATTTTTGTTTCAACCGTTGGAAAAAAAATGTGTTTCTTGCACAGGGTCACCATATTATTACAGTGCGACATCGCGGGGGGCAGGCCCTGCTGCCACTGCCACAGCCTCGGCCTACGATCGCCACTGACCCGTCCACCCGAGAGGAGAGGAGGATGAAGAGCGGGAGATGAGGGAAGAAAGATAGCACCAGCACCGATCAGTTAAACCTTGCATTTTCGCACTCTCCAACATTTCAAAACTTGACGTCAGTGAAGTTTGCTTCTTTTTTTTTTTTTTTTACTAACTCTGAAACCAACACATACACATATGTCAACAAACTCCTTGGCTTCATTCCAATCCGGTCTGAGCAGATTACTATGAAGATAAAAAAAATCATTTAACAGGTCCATTTTATGAAATTTAGGCTGTGTTGTATTGTACTAAGACTGAATCTTATTTTAAAATGTCTTTAAAAAAAACCCAAAAGGTCAACAATCTTCAGAGTAAAATCTTGTGCTTTCAGACTGGGGATATTTTTGAGCTGATCAAAGCAAAATCACTTTCCAGATGTTATTTTTAAGACTTGATATCAATCAGTTTTCTATACCATCCTACACTGGAGTGAAGACAATCCAATCCTTAGAAATCTGAATGACCAAAACCCCCTCATGTCTTTTATTTTCTCTGCTGTGGATTCAACACACCTAATCTGTGATCACAATGGGTAAAAAATTGTGTCATTTTTTACAAATGTTCACTAAGCCCCATCCTGATGTCACTTTGTTTATTACAAACTTAAACGGCCAAATCAGTGAATGTTAAGGAGCTACATTTGCATTATTCAAAGATGCTTATTTTACAATTTCCTACACAATTAAATAAATAAAAAAACAGCTCATAAATGACAGAACAAAACAAAAACATAAAGCTTATGGTGTACCACAGCGTTTCTGGGGATTGAGCTGATTTTCTGGCAAACCAGCAAACTTGTGGACTTAACCCTTCTGCCAGCTATAGTTCATGCAAATGATAAAACATGGTGGATGAATAGATGTAAAGAACTTTTGCCCAGGAGATTTTGGTTCGTGTCACATCTGAAAGTAAAAGTCAGCACTGACCAAACTTTACGTTTATAGCTGGAGTTTGCTAAGCTTTAAGGACACAACCTGCTCATTGTGTAGCATAATCCACAACTAGACAGTTCTGGTTCAGGGGTGGGGTTTAGTGAACTTAGTTTTAGTGGTTGGAGTCAATTACAAGTGTTATTTTTTCCACAAATATTAAAACCTTTCTTACAACATGAATTTAACTGAGCGAAATGGATAACCAAGCCAAAGAGGGCAACACAACAAACTGCTTTGGTGATTTGGTGATGCAGTGAAGTTATTCAACTAAACAGAAAATCACATAACCTCTACTAATCTCAGCCCTTATGTGGAGTTGGTTGTGTCTTATTTTATGGTTCTTTTTGTCAGTCTCTGTACTTAGCTCTAATAACTCATCCATTTATCACATTGTGTTGAAGTGGTGTGAATACCAACAAAACAGAAAAACAATACTTTTTACTAAAGCACAGCCTAAACCATCAGACCAAAAACTGTATTTCACCAGGTTGGGTCACTGGACAGGAAGGTGCTATCCTGCTTCCCCAGCAAAGATTTAAAAGTCCTGATTAAGAGCTATTTATAATGGAGGAGACACAGAGTAATATATTGAAAAGGTTTTTTTTCTGTGCTGCACTCCTAGATGAGAGTAAATGCCTGTAATGATTTCTAATAGTGTCATGCTGTTGTGCTAGAATAGTGGTGATATGATGGTGACGATGATGATGATGATGATGCAGTGAAACATGAAAAGCTAACAAGTCTTTGTTTATAAATGCATTTTTCCTGTTTCTAGTTGACACCCAACACAGGTGCTACTAAATGGAGAGGAGTGGCAGTGTTTTGTTAGTTTCTCACAATATTTCTGTTTCTCTCTTTAAACCCTCCAAAGATGGCTCCCCCTAGTGGATCGGCTGACAAAAGCACAAAGAGACTCAATCATTGTTTTAAAAGCGCCAATTTTGACTTAATTCAGAACAACAAAGTTATTTTTCTTTCCCCTTTTCTGAGAGTTTGTTTTTTTGTGTTTGTGCTGTTTGACATGAAATATTTCCTATAAATCATTGATTTCTTTTGAAAAAGAAAAAAAAGTTCAGTGTGTGAATGTTTTTTCCTGTGTTTTTTGGGTCCCCTTACGTCAGTTCTGCGCTGTGACAATGCTTGACACCAGGGTTGAGGCCTTACTCATCAAAATAAAACAATTTTTTTTCTGTCAGCACTGATCTAAAATCAGTCTTTTTCCCCCTCAAAAGTCAGAGAGCCAATTGGGCTGATCTGACAAAACTTTGAAGTCAGTGAAAGAAAACTCGTGTCTGTTTTGAGGTTTAGTGTTTTACCTGCAAACTCACTGGAGGCACCAAATCGCCAATGTGAAAAACAAAACAGAGATGCTCTAATTATGAACACGGATGAAGGAAAAAAAAACTGTTTCTTGATCCAAGTTGCTTTTGTATTTCTTTATTTGATAATAATAGAGTTGATCCTTTAACCTTAAAAGTTGTGCATCAGCAACTCTAAAGAAGACGATTCCTGTGATGGCCCACACGCTGAGCCTTTCCTTCTTTCTGCCTTTTTCTTTCAACTCTTCAAAGGCATTAATGAACCTGAATCACACCAGCTGAAAACGAGGACAGTGCCTTTAGTTTTATACGTCGACACCCCCACCCCCCGCCCCACCCGGACTGACCATGAGTCACTAAAACTATAATCAGAAAAAGGGCCCAAAATTGAGTGATAAGCCACTAGAGCTGCGCATCATACTATATAAAAAAAATTAATAAATCATCCTTTTTTTTCAACACAAATACAATTCTGTGAACACCTATCGATTGAAAGATGTTCTCCATGAGGAGGTAAATCCAGCCAGGCTTCTTGTGTCCATTCGTCCAGATCAGCTGCATCAAACAGCATCAAACAGGCTAAAATCAGTTCCCGAGCCAAGAATCCAGTCATACGTTAACAGGATTATTTGTTAACTCTGCCTCGCTCGCAGTGCAGCATCGTGCCTCGCCGTCACTTTGACCTAACAGGTTCACATGTGGAGAGAGTGGATTGTCGTTGTTCCAATTGGCAGCTGTGACATTGACTGTAAAGATGGTGGAAGCGGCGGTGTGGTGGTGCTGGTGGTGGTGGTGGTGGNGTACTGTCATTGTGGGTGGTACCGGCCACACACGCAAGCGTAGATATCATGACAGTCGCACTCTCTCCCTCCTTTTGTCCTCTGTAAAGTGGTGATCGCCCTCCTCTTCTGCCCCAGTGTTCCCCAGGGGAGTCCAAACCTGCTGTGCCATCAGAAGCTTGTCCCGTTTCTTCTTCTCCCCCCACTCCTTCCTTCGGCCCTAATCTCATCATATCTCATGCACTCATCTTCCCTTCTTCACTTCTCTCTCCCCACCCTCCTGCCACACAACCAGGATTAGAAGTTGATTTCAGGCCTGTGACCTTCCTCAAAAAGTCCTTTTACTTTCCTTCACACGGCCCCATCAATCCCTTCTTTCTCTCTGTTCTGTTTTGTTAAAAGTCATGCCTGGGATTCAAGCAGGGGATTGATCAAAGTGAGGTCACTTCAATGGCATTTTATCAATATTTGGTGAAGAACAGTCACTGAGATTTAACGTTTGGTTTCCCTCTCATGTAGCCATTAAAAAATTGTTCCAGACATTTAGGGTCAAACAGGAAGCTAAAATAAATACAATTCAGTCTCTCTCCCCTTCTCTTCTTTTTTTATGATTTCTCCTGCTCTGCTTGACTGTATCTCAATACGAATCCATGAAGATGGCTTCCGCCTTCCTTTAAACCTGAGGGGAATTCTGCATCACATCTTGACAGCAATTAGTGGCACAATCTGTTGCAGATATAACTAGGCTTTGGACAGACCTCACGCTGAAGTGTTACAGTACATCTTAATATTATTCGACTGAGGAAGAGGAGGAAGACGGCACGACTCAGCCCACCACAAATTGACTGTGTTTTTTTAAGCAGATGTTTCAATCAACAAAAAAGGGAAAGAGAAAAACAGATAACATGATTTTTTCACCTTACTGTGGCCTTTCGTGGAACAATCTGGAGGTTTTCTTTGTATGTGTGAGTGTGTGTGTGAGTCTGTGTGTCCATGGCTTCCTATCTAGGCTGTTGAGGAAAAAAAATTATATGTGATTTTTTTTGGTACAAAATAAAGGAAAAAAAAGTTTAACGGAACAACAAAAGAAATAGGTCCAGTCGCGCAAAGATAGATGCAAAGAATAAATTTGGTTTTAACAATTCTCCTGGCTCTTTTCTTCTAAATCCAATCACAACTGAAAGAAAACATATCTGCAACATTCACCAAAGCCTGGGATGCCTGTTTTAAATAAAAGCTTCTTGTACAAAACAAAACAAAACAAAACAAAAAAACACATAAAATGACAGAAAAGACTTAACGGATTACAAACACAAAATGAAGATAAGTAATGCCTTCAAGTATTCTGGAGAGGACGATTAAAAAAAGGTGAAATGCTTCTTTAACAAAAATGTGTATGTTTTTTATTCAATTTTCTAGTAGTTGAAAAGAAAACTTGGTGTTTTTTCCTCTTTGTGTGTCGTGTGTTGTCTTAATATTTGAATGTATTTTACTGCAGTGCGAATTTGCCAAAGATATCATATCACTCTTCTGTTTCTGACTTGTAATTGGTTTCATTCACAAAACAGGAACTTCTTGGTGAATCTGGTGTTATGTTTTATATATTTCTTTAATGTTAATATGATTGTTATTTTAATTTTCTGGCTTTGATTTCTACTGTGAAATATTACATTTGCAGTTTCCTTGATGCATCTCTTCATGCTCAGTCTGTGTATCTGTCCATCTGTCCACCTGAGTGACTGTTGTTGGTGAATTATTCCATTTATGTACCAGTAATGTGAAACTGAGAAGTTAACTATTTGTAAATATTTGCCATAATTTTATTGGTCCTTCAGAATAAAAATAATTTTTTGGAAGGTAAATGGTCTGTGTAAGTTTTTAGCTGAACGCTGAAATTTTCTTTTGTTTAAAAAAAAGCGTGGACAGTCTGTTGATGATAATGACGATGATGGTGATGAAGCTGCTGGTTTGAATCCAAAGTGTGATTCTACTTTCATTCTGGGGAGAAACAACCAGTTTCACTTCCATCTGCGTTGTCTCCCAACAAATCTGAATGGAAGAAGTGTCACGGTGCTGCAGTCTTGGCTGCAGGCCAGGAGGTGTGCATGTGTGTGTGTGTGTGTGTGTGTGTTTGTGAAGGTAAAGAGGAGGAGGAGGAGGAGGAGGAGGATGAAGAGGGAGAAGGGTGATAATAGGACATGAGCCAAGACATGGCAACAACACGCTGCACACACAGAAAACAGCACACATCCAGCTTGAGACACAAGCCAGGCTGTCCATAGATTGGGTGCCTGCCCAGGACACTGCAATGGCAACCACTCGTGTGTGTGTGTGTGTGTGTGTGTGTGTGTGTGTGTGTGTGTGTGTGTGTGTG